CTGGGTGGGCTCCTGGGCGGGGGATGGTCCTCAGAAAGGCCAAGCCATGATTAGAGGCTTGGAATTCTCAGCCCACCCCTCATGCTCTGAGAAGGGTAAGGACTGAAAATGGAGTTAATGATCAGCCGTGCCTCCTACAGAAATCCCCAAAGCACGAGGGTCCGAGAGCTTCCAGCCTGGAGAATGACTTCCACGTCGGGAGAGTGGCACGCCCAACTCCACGGGGACAGAACCTCCCACACCTGGGACCTCTCACCCTTGTCTCCTGGCCAGTCCTCTGCATCCTTTGCCACAACCTTTAATAAACTGGCAGACCTGTGGTCTCTGAGTTCTGTGAGCCACTCTAGCCGATTAACTGAAGCTGAGGAGGGATCACTGGCGCCTCTGAACGACAGCCGGTGGGTCAGAAGCACCAGCGACAGCCTGGGCTTTCAACTGGCATCTGCGGTGCGTGTGCTGGGGGAGGCAGTCTTGCAGGGCTGCGTCCTCGGCCTGTGCGACCAGACACTATCTCCTGGTGGACAGTGTCAGCCTTGAGTTCAACTGCGGGACACCCAGCTGGTGTCACAGGGGATGGCTTGGTGCGGGGACACACTGGGTTGCCAGCAGTGTCAGAAACGAAGTGCTCTGCGCGAGCAGAGAAGGAGACACACAGGAGGGAGACACAGCAGGAAAGAACTGTGGGGTCTGTCCCCCCACAGAAGGAAATAAACTGGTTTCTTTTTCCCTACAGAGCGAGATGACAAAGAAGGCAAATCAACGAGGAAGAAAAAGAGAGAGAAAGGGAATTATGAAGAGCAAAGAGGAGTGGAGGAGGGGCCGAGGAAAAAGGGGCCGGACCTGGGAGAGAAGACAGGCTCTCCTGCGTCTTCAGGGACTCTTGCCCCGATTCAGAAGTCTGTTCCACGTGGTCACTCTGACCGGCATGAGCTGCTGTCACGCTCAACTAACACAGGCAGTCCAGCCAGGAAGCCACCGTCCCCTCACCCCTGCTCTCCCAGGTCAAGGTCACAGGCAGCAGGCGTAGGGCCGTGCACTGTCAGAGTTGGAAAGGACCCCAAAGAACATCCAGGGTTCCCAGTGGGGGCGCTGCTGCATTTTGGGTGGACTGGTTCTTTACTGGGGAGGACGCTCTGAGCTCTGTAGGACGTTTGCCGTCCCTGGTGCCCCGGACCCTAGTGGGGAGCACCCTCTTCTCTTCCCCTCCCACCGCACTGCTAACCCTTCTCCCCCAGAGGGCGCCCTGGCCCCTGTTGAGAACCCCCGTGGCCGCCCCTCAGTGAAGGAAGAGCTACAAGGGACGGAGGCCTGGAATTGTGAAGACGGACAGTGAAGTGAGTTCACAGCAGACCTTTAAAACAAGGGTCTCCGCCTCCACCTCCCGCCTCACTAAGAACCACAGGAGACAACTCGCCAGTTCTGCGCAGAAGGTGCTTTAAAGGCCCCTCAGGGAGCAGAGTGTGAGACAGGACTCGTGGGCGGAGAGTGGGGGACCCCGTTTCCCTCTTGAGGCCTTGTCTCATCTGACGCCAGTGAAGCCACTGCTGAGTGCCCTCCCACTCAGCTGACTCCTTTGTCAACCCGGTGACACTGATCCTCCCTTCCAGAGGGATTAGTCAGACAAGTGCAAAAATGGAGAGGAATGCAGGGCTGGAAGTAGCTCCAGCTGCAGGGGGGGAGGGAGGAAAGGGGAGACGGAAAGCCACTAAAATTACCCACACGCAGATGGGTTGGGACCCCACAGCTGAGGGGCCTCTCGCCTGTTACGGCATTTTCCACCCCCTGGGCCAACACATTTAGAAATGACTTGGTGGCCTTATGTCATGCTGCAATAATAACTCAGGGACAGAGTCACCAAACCCTACTGAGTCCTGACCAGTCTACAGTAGAGTTCCCAGAGTTGGCAGAGTTATTGGGTCAAAACCAAATGGGTCACTGTCTCGTCTCCTCGCCCAAAGCAAGATCACCTGGAGGAGAGCCTGCTGGGTGAGGGCACCGGGTAGAAGCTGCTTTTCTGCAGCCCCACCTCTAGGAACCAGGGTGTCCGGGGCTCTGGTGTGTGGCCATGGCAGAATAAGGGGTGAGGCTGGCCTGGGGAAAAAGTGAGGACCGGCTTCCTCTGTCGGGCCCCCAGGAGAACGAGCAGTTGGGGTCCTCCCAGCGGTACTTCAGTGGGGCCCAGCCATGGAGGCCAGGCCAGGGTCCTGCCCTCTAGCTCCACCTAAGCAACTTCATTATCTAGAAGTCCTGGCAGGACTAGGCTCAGCTGCCCCTCATCGTGACCTTCCGTTATTTGTAAAGGCCGACCCCCGACCCTCATTAGCTCCCCCGCTCTGATTGATCAAACGCTGGGTCTCCAGGAGTGGTTCCTGGACCAGCCCCGTCGGCACGTTCTCAGGCCCCGCCCAGCTCTGCGGAATCAGAAACGCCGCGGGAGGCGTTGGGCAATGCTTCCACGAGCCTGCGGGGGATTCTCTGCTTGCTGGACTTGGAGGACAGGGTTGTGGGGCCCTTCTCTCCACCCTCCGCCCTTTCTGCATCGGACACTGACCACCTGCTCTCTCCTCCTCATTCCTGCCGGATGACTCGGCCCCCAGCACCGGCAGGGCAGTCCACCCACCCCTACCTCTTCATCCACCGCACAGCCTCATCTCCCCCGCTGCCTGCTGCCTTGGCCCCGCCCCTCTCAGCTGCCCTCCGCAGGCACCTGCGTGCCCTGCTGCAGCCTCGCTCTCTGACTATGCCTTTCCAGCCCCTGCTCGGACTCTCTTCCTCTGGCCTGCTCCGGGCCTTGCCATCCCTTCTTTCCTCCCTCAAACACTTGTCCAGGCATCATTTCAACCCTCGCATCTACGTAGATGGCTCTGATCTCATTACCTCTGTTCCCCAGCTTCCTCGAACTCCACCCCTGCATTTCTGGCAGCTTCTAGAACACTCCTCCTGGAGGCCTAAGAAGCGCCTCAAATCCCACAGCCCTAACTCCGAGGCACTTCTTCCTCCACGTTCCTCAAACCACCGCCGCCACCTCGCTTGTCACCCTGACTGTCGTCTGCACAGCCAGTGTCTAAGATCTCACTGGCTCTCCCACCCCTGGTCCCCCGAGGTCACCTCTTCTGGGTATAAACTTGACATGCCACGCACTGCGAAGTCCTCATGGGCCCAAGTAACACGGATCCAACAGGAATCGCCTTCCAAGCCCACAGCTGCCACCCACGCTGTGCCTAACTCCACCAGGCGGAATGCTCCGGACCTGAGCCCGAGGGAAGAGCAGGCTTTGTGGACTGCTCGACATTTGCTGAAGATTAGGAGCTCCTAAGGGAAGGCCTCGGCCCTCTCTGGGCAGAAAGGATAACAAATCAGATTAGAAGGCCCTCTCCCTGCTTCGCGGGCAATCCGATTCCTATTTCTGGGTCACTCGCGCTGCGCTGCGTGACCCTCTGGGGAGAGTTTACATGTTCATAGTCCTCCGAGACAACGGCTACTTTGTTAGTGAAAGCAATGAATGGATGTCTGAATCAGAAAGGAGACCTAGGGTTATGGTCAGGGTCAAGGGTCAATGGTGATGGTCAGCATCAGGGGCAGGATTAGGGTCAGAGGCCTTGGGAGAGGGGTTTAAAACCACCCTGCTCCCTAAACAGACACACTTCTGCTGAAACCATCCTGGTTTCCAGCTTCCCTTGCTGTAGGACCCCCCCAATGAGAAACCTCCCACTTTCTCATTTCCCTCCTTTCAAATCCTGGACTCCAACCACCTTAGCCAAGACCATCCTGGCTGTAGATGCAGAACCCTGGGACTAGGGGTGGGACGTGGAATGGAGACAAGCAGGGACCCTTCCTTGGCACTGACAGCACTTTGTCCTGTCCTGTTCTTCCAAAGACAGAACCACACGGCCCTTCCCCCGCCTCCTTCCCAGAGTCCGGAGAGCTGAGTTCCGGCCCCCGATCCATCACTGACAGCTACAGACTCAGTTCAAATAACAAACTGGTTTTGTGTTCTGGTTTCTTCACTGAAGAATGCAAATTGTGAAACTCTGCCTGCTTACTCTGCTGCACTGACGTAACAGTGATACCACACGTGTGTAAAAGCAGTTCATCATTAACTAATCATTCCCATGACCCCTTCCAGCTTGCTCCTGACAACACCTGGCGAGACAGGCAGGGAAAGCATTTTTATCCCTTTTAGTTAGATGAGGAAAGGAAGGCTCTGGAAGGGTTTGCCCAGGCCACAGGCTAACGTGCCGCAGAGCAAGGGCTCAACCTGGCCTTCAGCGCGCTGTGCCACAGGGTTCCAGCACAGTGAGAACCTCGTGGGATACCGCAAGCCACTGTTACTAATAAAAGCACTGCTTTTTCCCAGTGTAGTTATGGCCCAAATAGCCTAGGCATTCTCAGCACCTCCGATCTGTCATTTCTGCAGCGGGGCATTCTGACCTAACAAGCAGGCGTGGAATCACCAGCCTCAGCGCTACAGCGAGGGAGAGCAGCGTCAGCCAAGGAAGAGGGTGAGCCTGTGGGTGGGTGTTTCTGATGCCACCGCCCACGGAGGCTGGCCGCACTGTCTGCCGGGTACAGAGGGCATGAGGGTTTAGGAAAGTTCATCGGTTCCAACAATCCCATTGTGGGGGGTGAAGAGAACTTAATCCCAGAAAGGTGACATGCTTCAGATCACATAGCTCCTCAGTAGCTGAGTTGGCTGCAGACCCAGCACCCTAATTCTAAGTCCAGGGTTCCTCCCATTCTGCCAGGATTTGGGGCTATGCTCCATCTCACACGGTCCGACCTAACCCTCCCGCTGAGTCTATGGCTGACTGTCAGTAGAGTGAGAGTGATGGGGTGCCAGGCACGGTGGGTCCTTGTCCATAACAGATGTCCCAGGAATGAGGGCGGCCCTCCCAGAGATCACCGTTTGGTTTCAGTGCCAAGCCCAGCACACACTTTGTCCCCAGGGCCAGGACAACCCCACAAACGTGTGTGTCGGGCTTTGAGGAAATGCTACTCACGACTTGTCTCGCCTGCCGAGCCGTCTCGGGGGGCTTGCCGGTCTCCTTCGGGGGGACAAGGATTTTCCTCGGCTTCTTACTTGGGTTGGAGATTGGGCACTTGCAGGTTTCAGGATCTGAAGGCGACGTGAAGAGTTACCACGCTGGTTTCTAACAGCCCCTGTTTTCCAGTCTTCCTGCAGTGCAGCCCACTCAGCACCCCACGGTTGACAAGGCTCTGAGCTGGGAGACTTCCGGGAGGAGGTCAGGGGAAGGTGTGAGACACAGGTGTGCCGCTCTCGCCCTGCGCACTGGCGAGAAGCGCAGCTACCATGTCCGGGGGGGAATGTGATTCCACTATGTGCCCCCTTCCCCATGGCAGCACAGGGAGAGAGCAGCAGAGCCCAGTGCCCAGGCCTCCTGGGGCTGCACTTAAGTGTTCAGCAAGTTCCCCTCTGGGGAAGGCAAAGGCCCATCTGCACTGCCCCAGAAATTAGCTCCTTCTTCCTCCGCCTCTCTGTCCGCACCCCAGCCATGCACAGAGTAGGTTCAGTGTGTCAAGAATCTCCATTCCAGGTCCCACAGAGTGGAGATGACAAATGCCCATGTGCTGAACATGACCAAGTCTGAGCTTGGATAATCCCTTTCCCCTGTGGTCCTCGGTGTCTGCACAGGCTTTCTCTCAGTGATCCCACAAGCCCTGGAGGGACACGGACAAGCAGGCATCATGGCACATTGGAAGTGACAAGGTAGAAGGAAGAAGGGCTTGTGAGTCTAGTTAACGTAAAGCCAGCACAGTGCTTGCACCTTTGCTGGCTACTATGGCACCAGAGCAGAATGTTTTGCCAAGGGGCTTTGCTCCTTATCAAGCAAAGCAGAGATATGATGTGACTCTGAAATAGGTTATAAAGCCAGGTGACCCACCCACTCATCCTGGTTTGCCCAGGACTTTCCTGGTTTTAGTACTGAAAATCTTTGGTTTCAGGGAAATTGGGATAATTGGCCACTCTCTTACAAAGGCAAAACAGCCCTGGCTGGTGTGACTCAGTGGATTGAGTGCTGGCCTGTGAATGAAAGGTTCTCCGGTTCCATTCCCAGGCAGGGCACATGCTTGGTTTGTGGGCCAGGTCCCCAGTAGGGGGTGTGCAAGAGGCAACCACACATTGATGTTTCTCTCCCTCTCTTTCTCCTTTCCTTCCTCTCTCTAAAAATAAGTAAAATCCTTTTTTAAAAAGGCAGAACAGGACAAAAATACCTAGAGCCTTAGGATAGAATGACTAACATTTTAGACTGATTTCAGAGAAGGAACTGTGGACCAGGACATTGCTTTAACTATAACACCTAAGTTGACTTTGGCTCTGGTTTTTGAAGTACATATGCAAAGAGAGACTTTCATTATCCATGTCAAATAGCAAATGACTTCTTTTTTGTTTTAATAGGGTGGCTGCCAAGCAAGATAACCTCAAGAAACTTTTGAGCATCCCAGAAATGTGGGGCTTGGGACGAGATGGGGGTAGGGAGACGGAGAGAGAGAGAGAGAGAGAGAGAGAGAGCTCTCTTGCATCGCACGCTTGCCTTCCCAGCACCTACCTTCATCCTCATGTCCCTGGCATATTTCTCCAGCTCCTTCCTTATGTCAGCCCTCAACATCTTTGAGACATTGAGGACCAGCTGCTTCCACTCAATAGGCTGGAAGCTATGAGGTTCATGGGGGACATACAGCCCAATCTTGACCTTCTTGACTGTGTGCAGGTATTTCTTGTAGGAGTCTTCAAAGTCAAAGATAAGGTCACTCAGAGTCCGAAAGGTCAGCGGCTTGTCCATCAGCTCCGCCCTTCGGCTCATGCCCAGCGAGCCATAGCGGCCGTTGCAATAGATCCCCAGCACAACATGGTGAAAGTAGTTTCCTGAGAAGTAGGTTTTAAAGCTGATGGGGAATCGCTCGATGGAAGGCTGTCCATTGGTTAAGTAGCTTAGATCATCTGAGTCAAGGAAGAGGAAAGAGGCCTTGAAAATTCGAAGAGCTTGGATTCCCAGGAAGGGAAAGTGGCCCGTGGGTCACAGAGTCCATGCCTCTGCCTCTGAGCAGGCCCACACCCCACCTTTCCAGACGAATCCTGTTTAGAGGATTCCCTCAATATCTCTGAGTACCTACTACGTGTGCACCAAAACCAGATTAATGTGGGACAAAGAGAAAAAACTTTCCATCTTCTTTAGTATTAAATAAGTACAAACTTAACAATAAGCAAGACTCACAGCCAAAATGGAGGTGTATGGAGATACACTGTGCCTCCTCACACAACCAAAAGAAGGACAACAATAAATTTAAAAACAAAAAACAACTAGAACTGCCAGAGAATCGAACTGTATGGAAGTCCAGCAACCAATGAGTTAAAGAAAACACACTTATCCAGACCAGTAGGAGGGTCTGGGAGGACTCACAGCAAGATGGCAGCTGGTGGACCCAGCAAAAGTGGGCAGTCACACGTCTGCATGCGGATAAACTGGAAGGAACAACTGGGGAGCGAGACAGACCATACAACCCAGGGCTCCAGCTCTGTAAACACCTGTGGGGTTTGAGGTGGCAGCGGGAGAAACTCCCAGCCTCACAAGAGAGTTTGTTGGTGAGACCCACAGGGTCCTAGAACATACATATGACCACTCACCCAGGAATCAGCACCAGAAGGGCCCAATTTGCTTGTGGGAAGCAGGGGAAGTGACTGAAAGCTGGCAGAGAGCGGAGCAAGCACCATTGTTCCCTCTCGGACCCCTCCCCCACATATAGCGTCACAACGCAGTGACATATTGCCCCACCCTGGTGAACATCTAAGGTGCCACCCCTTACTATGTAACAGGTTCACTGAGACCAAAAAAAGGGGGCCCAAATGAAAGGACAGATCAAAGCTCCAGAAAAAAATACAACTAAGCAACGAAGAGATAACCAACCTATCAGATACTGAGTTCAAAACACTGGTGATCAGGAAGTTCACAGAATTGGTTGAGTATGGTCACAAAATAAAAGAAGTGAAGCCTATGAAAAGTGAAATAAAGGAAAATATATAGGAAGCTAACAGTGATGGAAGGGACACCAGGACTCAAATCCATAGTTTGGACCAGAAGGAAGAAATAAACATTCAACTGGAACAGAGTGAAGAAACAAGAATTCAAAAAAAAAAACAAAATTAAGAGAGGCTTAGGAAACTCCAGGACAACCTTAAATGTTCCAACATTCAAATCATAGTGGGGCCAGAAGGAGAAGAGGAAGAACAAGAAGTTAAAAACTTATTTGAAAACATAATGCAGAAGAACTTCCCCAATAGGGCAAAGGAAATAGACTTCCAGGCAGTTCAGGAAGCCCAGAGAGTCCCAAAGAAGTTGGACCCAAGGAAGCACACACCAAGGCACATCATAATAACAGTGCCCAAGATTAAAGATAAGGAGAGAATCTTAAAAGCAGCAAAAGAAAAGGAGACAGCTACCTACACAGGAGTTTCCATAGGACTATCAGCTGATTTCTCAAAAGAGACCTTACAGGCAAGAAGGGGCTAGAAAGAAGTATTCAAAGTCATGAAAGGCAAAGACCTACATAGAAGATTACTCTCTCCAGCAAAGCTATCATTTAGAATGGAAGGACAGATAAAGCACTTCCCAGGTAAGGTCAAGTTAAAGAGGTTCATCATCACCAAGCCCTTATTATATGAAATGTGAAAGGGACTTATCTAAGAAAAAGAAGATTAAAAATATGGACAGTAAAATGGCAACAAACTCACAACTATCAACAACCGAATCTAAAAATAAAAACCAAAAACAAAAGAGAACTAAGCAAAGGACTAGAACAGGAATAGAATCACAGAAATGGAGATCACATAAATGGTTATCGGGGGGAGGGGGAAGGGGAAGAATGGGGGGAAGGTGCAGGGAATAAGTAGCACAGATGGTAAGTAGAAAATAGACAGGGGGAGGTTAAGAACAGTATAGGAAATGTAGAAGCCAAAGAACTTATACATATGACCCATGGACATGAACTAAGGGGAGGAGAATGCGGGTAGGAGGGGGTAAGCAAGGCAAAGGGGAACAAAGGGGGAATGAGACATCTATAATAGCATAATCAATAAAATATATTAAAAAAACAATAACAAGGTGCTTTTCCTGCCTCGATTTTCTACAGGGGATGACATGCTTTTAACAGGGTTTTTATGCAGCCCTGACTAGTATGGCTCAGTTAGTTGGGCATCATCCCGCAAAGGTCACCAGTTCAATTCCTGGTCAGGGCATATGCCTGGGTTGCAGGTTCCATCCCCGGTCAGGGTGCATTTGAGAGGCAACTGATCAATGTTTCCTTCTCACATCAATTTCTCTCTCTCTTTTTCTTTCCTTTCCCCTCTCTCTAAAAATTAAAAAATCTTTTTTAAAAAATAAAGATTTTTTTATTCAACTGGAATGATGTTCTCAGACGTTAACTCTGGCTGGCGTACGTGGGGCAGACCAGGAATTGAAGGCCCCTGCAACGTTCATGGGAGAAATGACAGCCAGAATCAAGGCAGAAGCAAGGGCTGCTAATCCAGGTGTCCTCAAAAGCAAGGGGCCAACAGAACTCAGCCCACGGGCCTGAGGTCAGCCTTGCCCTCTGCCCTGCATTTAGTCATAGAGCACTCCTGTCTATAAAAATGCTGTCTCTTCACTTCATCATGGTGACTAACTGGCAGTCAGGAGTGAAACCACATCCCTCTGAGTCCTCTTACATAAATTCTTTCTTGCTTTCTGGGGCGAGTTCTCTGGGGCTGGCATAAGGGCATTCCTTAGCTGTTTAGGTCAGTGTAACAAACACTTACTGAGTGAGTACCTCCTGGCCAAACAGCCTGCTGGGCAGGGCTGTGGGGCCCTTCTCTGCACGTCTGGTGGGGAGAGACTCAAAATGGACACAATAGGGTCAGAACAGTAATTCCTCAAAAAAAATTAGACATAGATTTACCATATGATCCAGCAATTCCACTTCCGGGTCCATATGCAACAGAATTAAACACAGACATCTGCACACCCGAGTTCACAGCCGCATTACCCACAGCAGCCCAAAGGTGGGAACAACGCAAGCGTCCATGGACGGATGAACGGATAGACACCCGGGCATGTACATACAGTGGAATATTGTCCAGCCTTTATGAAGCAGATAGTGCTGACACATGCTATGTCATGAATAAATCTTGAGAACATCACGCTAAGTGAAATGAGCCAGTCACAAAAGGCCAAACTCTATGTAATTCCACTTAGTGAGGCATCTGGAGTAGTCAAACCCACGCAACGGAGACAGAAAGTAGAATGATGGTTGCCAAGGGCTGGGGAGGAGGGGAGGGGGGTCCTGGAGATGGTTGGTGGTGATGGCAGCACAGAAATGCGAATGTTCTCGGTGCCACTCAACTGTCCTCTTTTGTTATGCTGTACTCCTTAAACTTCCACAGTCCTACCCTGGCCAGTGTGGCTCAGATGGTTGTCCCAGCAACCGAAAGGTCATGGGCTTGACCTCCAGTCAGGGCCCCTGGCTGGGTTGTGGATTCGGTTCCCAGACAGGGCACATTTGGGAGGTAAGCAATCAAGGTTTCTCTCTTGCATCGATGTTTCTCACCCTCTGTCTCTCCCTCCCCTCCTCTCTCTCTAAAACCAATATGTCCCTAGGTGAGGTTAAAAGCAAGCAAACAAATTTGCACAGTCCTGTATGCCAATTATATCTCAATACAACTAAAAAAAACCACCTAAAATGTGATGTGTGCTGTAAGAGACAAGCCAGCAATCTTAGGGAGAGCAGAGCAGAGGCCCCAAAATTAGTCTTATGGGTCAAGCAGAGTCAGACACATAGAGAAGTGGGGATCGGACAGGAGAGACCACCAGGGTCGCCTGTCACACATCACTCATCTCTAGGATGTGTTCCATCATTATGGCCCTTAGTAAAGCCTTGGGTCTTGGAACAACTGGGACCTATAGGGAGTGCACAAGGAAGTGTGGATGAGGGTGGGAGTTCTCTTCTAGGGAAGAGAAAACAGCAGAGGCCCGAGACCCTGGACCATGTGCCCAGCATCCAGCCTGCTGGGGATATATGCCTGACGTGCCTCTACTAATGAACCTGTCGCTTCAATAAACCATAGTGCTTTAGTACCATAATTAAGCCCCACCGGGGTCAGCAAGGGCCCCCAAGGAGCTGCCATTCCTCAAAGACTAACTTGGAACCCGAGGTCTGCCACTCCAGCAAGTGTGTGAAAGTGTGCGCGTGCACAGAAGCCAGGTGAAGACCGTGGTTCTTTGTGAAGGAAGCCTGGACTCTGTGCTAATGACACAGGAGAAAACAAGGGAGGACACAGGCTTCCAAGAAGCAGCCACAGGTTTCCCAGAACCAGTGGGCAAGGGTGGGGGCGCTGCGGAAGCACAGACAGGTGACCCTGGTCAGGACCTTCCCTGAGCCCGAGAGCAGAGCAGGCCACAGGGACGCTGACACAGAGCAAAGAGCAAAGATGAAGATGCTGTAGCTTTTAGAATCCAGGTCTGCGTTTCTTGTCTGTGTCCAAGAGTCAAATTTCCCTGAGTTGGGCAGTGTGAGCCCAGTTTCTGCACCCTCCCCACCCTCTTCTGAAATGTCACACCGGGAAGGACAAAGGAAAACCAGGAGCACACTGCCCTTGGATTTGGACGGGCCCAGAAGCTGGTCACAGGCCTATCCCCACAATCCTAAAAGTCCGTAGGTAATTCCTGTAACTTCAAGGAAGGCTGGAATTTCTGAACTGGCACAGGGACAAGACTATTGTGGACATGAGTGCTGTGAAGCAAGTGGCCTCTGTCCAGGTGCGCTGAAACATCCGTCAGCAGACGTCTGAAGTGACTGGTGCACCCAGTGAGGGGCCTGCGCTTGTGATCTCCCCTCTGATCTCCACCAGCAAATCCCCGACAATTGTTCACCCCCATTAAACTTGCAGGAGGCTCTGCCCAACAGCTGTGCTGAGCCCTGAGCCAACTGCTGCCCCCACCCGTCGTGGTCCTGCCCTCCCTCTGGGCTCCCAGGGCATGCGTTCCATCCCAGTGAGGAGCAGGGAGGAGGTCCAGCTGGAGGGCTGGGGAGGGGCTTCCGTGAGGCTCAAGTTTCCATTTTTGAAATGTCAGCCTGGGCACCTGTGGACTATCTTGTTTCAGGTGGGGCCTGCCATTGCACCGCAGACTGCAGCAGGGGGACATTCCCCTTCCCGTAAAAACGTCCAGGGGGCCAGACAGCAGCCTAGACCTGCCCCACTGTCCCGCCCACCCTTCCACTGATTTCTGTGTCTCCTTTCCTGGTTTTCCTTCTACCTCTCGAGCTGTCCTCCTTAGTGTCATTTATGGGCTCTCTGGGATCAATTAGACCAAAAACAGTGAGATTTCTTCCTTGATCCCTTTCTCTTCTGGCTCCATGAACAGTATCTGGAGTCCCCTAAACTCACAGCTCCCAAGCTTGTATTTCCAGCACAGATCCCCTCCCGAGCTCTGGACTCCGAATACTCCACCTGACATCCCACAGGCACATCAAGTTCAACACGCCCAAACCTGAACTCCAATCCCCATCAGTCTGATCTTCTACTTTAAGTCCTTCCCTTGGGCTGTGGCAGTATTATCCAATCATCTGGTTTCCCAGGCCGGAAAGCGGAGTCACTGCCTCCTTCCCTTGAATCCTCGCAGCACCTCACAGCACACGTGGTGCTGATGACACTCCCAGCGCCCGCCCTCGCCTTCACTGCTGCCATCTTAGTTCACACCGGCGCCCAAGTGTCTTCTCACCTTTCTGTCTTCCTAGTCCCTCCAGCCCGTCCTGCACAGACCGTCGCTGACCCCTTCCTCATCAGCCTCCACACCCTGCTGGTCTCCAAGACCTGTCAATTCCACCTCCTTCCTAGCTCTTGAAACTGCCCCTCAAATCCATCCCCATTGCCGGGACCACGGTGCAAGCCTCACCACCTCCTTTACGGAACAGCTCCTGCCTGGCTCTGCAGACCCAGCCCTGGCCTTCTCCAGTCTGCCCTCCAGTCTGCCCGAAGAATGACCTCGCTGAGGCGCACATCTGGTCACGGCACACCTCTGCTCCAGAGCTTTCAACTGGGCTGCCCACGGTGTTTCTGGAAAAGGTCACACTTCTCAGCACAGCACCCAAGGGCCTAACTGGCCTTACCTGGGCCACCTTTCAAGCCCATGCCTTGCCATGTTCCCTTGGTCACAGTCCCTTCTAGCCATCACCCCAAAGGACTGAGAGCCCCTTTGCTCTTCCATCGGATCGTGTTCCCGCCATCACCACTAACACGTAAGTGCCATCACGGTGTTCTGGGCCGCATTCGGCCTGGAAGCCAGGAGTCTGGTGGAAAGTGGAACAGGGAGTGTGGGAGAGACCAGAACTTTGTCTCAGCTGTATGTTCTGCAGAGCCAGGACGCTACACCATTACCTGGTCTCCTCCGCAGTCCACTCGTAGACTCTTCCCCAGAGATGGGATTGATGCCATCAATCCCGCTTCCTCTTGATGCCTTTCCTATTGCAATGCCGAATGAATGCACAAACAAAACAAAACACAAAACAATGATATGCCCTGGCCAAGGAGCTCAGTTGGTTAGGGGATTATTTAGATACACCAAGGTTGTGGGTTCAATTTCCTGACCGGGCACATACCAATGAAAGCCTAATAAGTGGAACAACAAATTGATGTCTCTCTTTCTCAAAAGTCAATTTAAAAAATGATACACACTCTCTCTTCCTCTTCCTAAAAATCAATAATAATTAAAAAACCCCAATGATACACACTGTTTCTCTAGTCCCTCCAAGTTAAAATTCTCCTTGCAACTAGCAAGCCTGGCCTGAGAGCTGGCCCAGATGCAGGCGTCAGCCAGCAGGTCACACTGATGGTGACCCAAGGAGCCATGCTCTGACTTAGTCCAACTCCAGATGGTGGAAGTTAAAGAGAAACACCAGGGAGCTTGGTAGTGTCCTCCAAGGAGACAGCAGCCATCGTCTCTGTGGAACTAGGACGTTAAAGACACAGCCAGTGCTCAGATGGTGGTGTGAGGCCACCATCTACGGAGTCAAATGAAGCAAGTGCGACTTAAAGGATACATGCCCAGGATGACAGCTTCAAGGCATTTAATAGGCAAGGACTCTCGAGTCATTTCTTTCGCTGTTTCCATTAACCTGCAGGACAGAGCACAGCAAAAGATCCCAGGACTTATTTAATGGTGCAATTGGTCTGTCAGTCAATCCATCAGCAAGCCCACCTCTACGCTAGGCACCACGCAGGAACGCAGAGGGAAAGGGGAGAGCTCGCTTTGCAGGAGGGTGCCAGAGCACATCCCACTCGACGGAAATAAAATCCTAAATTCCGCACTCCTCCTTCCCAGAGCTAGCTCCCGGGCGTCAGTGCCCATGCTCCATGGCAGGCTCCCACTGCCTCAGGACAGGGGCAATGCGTGGAGCAGGTACAGGAGGCCGCAGGAAGCAATCTCATAGGCCTCCCCCTCCCCCTGAACGAGTTAAGTTCCCACCCCTGAGCTTAGCGGTCAGAGAGGCCCAGACCCCAGCCCCCCCTCCAACATGGGCCTGGGGCACCTCCACCTCCACCCCTTAGGGACCAGAATATTGAGCACTGGGATACAGGGATAGAGGGTGGGAGAGGAGGTCAGCCGCTCTTGGGGAGGAAGGAGGTCACTGGCCCACAGGTCATGCACAACTTACCCACTCAGTGGTCTCATTTTCCTAATTTCAAAGAACTGGGTCCCTGTATGATTGTATCTGTGTGAAGTGTGTAAAGGGAAAGCAACTGAAAACTCCAACGGTCCCAGAAATCCAGCAGAGGAAGCTATGCATTGATTTCCCAAGGGGAGGAGGAAGTGAGGGCTTTCCAGAAGGAGGCTAGTGGCAAGAAGGTGGTCCCATCCTCTAACTCCTCACTGCTCTGCCTGGAAATCTGGTTCTAACTTGAGCCCCAAAGCACCTTGGACTTTAGAATAGCTGCTTTCAATCTGCTCTACATTCTGGTTAGTTGAATACTTGTCTCAATTGATCTACTAGACTACAAGCTTTTTGAGTTGGGACTGTTTATTTATCATCTTTATATCAACCATTAAGCCTGGCACAAACCCAATATATCCCAGTTAGCATATATTATTAAATGAATGAGGAATAAGGGGATGGGTGGGTGGAAGGGTAGATGGTTGAATGATGGATTAATGGATGGACAGATAGATGGATGAATGGGTGGGTGGGTGGATGGATAAAAGGAAGGATGAATGCAACTGATGAATGGAAGGGCGGATGGACAGTTGGAAAGCTGGATGGCTGGCTGGAGAGACAGAAGGGGCAGGTGGATAGGAGGATGGATGGATGGATGGATGGAAGGAATGGAAGGGTAACAGAGAGAAGTAGATGGGTGGCAGTAGTGTTTCTCAACAGCGCAGACTGCAGCAGAACTTACTATGGAAACACCACTTTTATTTCATGCTCAAACTGACCCTTGACATGAATTACTAAATGTGACGAGATGACAACATTATCCACAACCTGGGCTTCAGCTGGTGGCCCAGGACGTCTCAGGGCCTGGAGAGCCTGCAGCACGTGATTCTGGGAGAGACCCAAGATTCCCTAATGCCATGGTCCCTAGATCTGGGGTTTTCTAAGCCTAAGGAAACGTTGCTTTGTGAGTTTTGCTACCTTGCCTCAAACAAAATCCTATAGAAAGTGCACATTGGGAAGTTGCTAATGAAGCATGGACCTGGGACCTTGTGAAGCCGGTGGGGTGGGTGTACGAGGTAAGACGTGTGCCCCTGCTGTGGTGGAGACAGCTGTGGAGGGTGGTGCTGGACACCTGAGGCACTGCACACCCCTCTGAGGAGGGCCGGGAGTCCTCCCCCGGCCCAGGGGTGCCTGGCCCCTCAGACACGAGCACACATACCAACCGCCTGTGGAGTTCACTAGAACGGCTCCACCTCTGGAACCTGACGTCGGGCCATGGTTTTAAGCCTCGTTGCCATTCAGAGCCACCTCATCTGGGACTGTTGAATTGGAAGTTCCGGGGCTGGGGCCAGGGGCTGATTTGAACCGGCTCCCAGTCTGGAAATTACTGGCACGGCCACAAGAACAACCCATAACAATACAGGCCTGCCTAGCTTTAAAAAATATAATGTACGAAGGCTAAGAGCTAAAAGAAAAAAATCTATTCTCATTGTGAGGTGATTTGTTTTTTACTTTCCCAAAGATTTCATTCAGTGAGATTCTGGTACATTAAAAGGAGAATTCGGCCCTGGCCGGGCGGCTCCCCTGGGTGGAGCGTCACCTGTACACGCTGAAAGGTTTCAGGCTCCACCCCCGGTCAGGGCGTGTACAGAAGGCAACCAACTGATGTTCCTCTCTCCCATCGACGTTTTTCTTTCTCTCTGTCTCTGTCTCTCTAAAATCAATGAGCATGTCCTCAGGTGAGGATTTAAAAAATAAAGAAATAAAAATTTTTAAAAATGTACAGTAGAATTCAACTCGCAAAAATGCAATGTATAGGGCCCACTTTCCCTGTTTGTATATCTAGCTCATACATCGAATGCATAAAGTGAGACAAACCTGTAATAAAATAATGAAAAATTACCCGGCTGTCTTTTCTCAGTTCCTAACAGTTGTCAGCTCCTGCCACTGAGCTGGGGAGGGAAGCTTTCTGTCAACACAGCCGTCAGGGTGGCAGGCTCACTGGCCCAGCCCACCCTCAGCGGAGCTCAGGGGACACCTCTCTTTTCAGGACCCAATGCAGGATCGGCGCTGCTGTTGGCCAAGGCTCTGAAGCTGTCAGAACAGAACACAGGATTTGCCCTTCCATATCGCCACTGCCTGCTGAGCACATCTACCCCAGTCAGGGCTGGCCCCGAGAGGTCCCCCTACTCTAGCACCTGGCATGCAGTTCTCTGCTTGGGGCAAAGCGGGAGGAAACCCTGAGGCACTAAGTAAAAGCCTGGTCAGAAGGGAGACCAGAGGCCACATTCTGCTTTCCTTGTGTGGAGGCTCCAACGGCCGGGGACAAGGGCGCACAGGCCAGCAGCCCGAGGTGCCTCCTTTCTTCAGCCTCTCTGTGGTCAGCGATCTGGGTCAGCGACCATCAGAGTGCATCAGAGAAAATTAACAAAGCCGCTCCTTCAGGGCGGCCGTGAAAACTCGGCTGAGAACGTTCTGCAGGGCTGAGCAGAAAATGCAAATTTGCCCCAGTTGGTGCATCGGCCACCGGCCTCATTCTCTTTCATCTCTGGTCAAAAGGTCCTTGTGCACGTCCATTTTAATTTCTCCTGCAACATTCTGTGGTGAGTCGGTCACGTCCAGGAAGCCTCGGTTTGGGGGTCCAGGTCTACCCTGGCAGGAGTTTATGCCTCTGGGCCACATGGAGCTCCCCATGGAGGGTCCTGGTTTGGGGATCAGCACAACCCCAGAGAGCCTTCTGAGGGCTGGCGCTGTCCGCCCCACCCCTGGAGGCCGGTGCCACCCCCTCCCTCTAACATCGCTTCAGCAGTCCCCTGGGAAGACGCTGTGCAAGGGAGTTCATGATCGGTAAAGTGGGGACTGGGGGCTAATCAAGTAATCTGCCCACCCAAAAGAGCAGAACTGGTGTTATTCCCATCTGGTCGTATGTGTCCCTTCAGGGAAGTCACAAAAATCCACAGGAGAGATCCTCGCCTATAGCACGGAGAGGAGGGGCCTCTTCTAGGGCACGTGGGCATGAGTCAGTGCCCCCATGGAATCCTTTCTGCTAAGTTCTAGGTCTTTAGGGAGGAAGGACAGAGGTCAGCAGAAGCTCGACCTGCAGGACAATGCGCTGGGGGTCTGCAGGGAGTCTGAGGCTGGCTTTGCTCTGAGCTGCCACTGACTTGCTTGGACAAATGGCCTGACCCTCTTGCACACACCTGCCAGCCCAGCCCGCATCTGACTGCTATCCCGGATAAAACACCAGAGCAGCCAGCCAGCGCACCATCCGCCCCTCCCCTTTGTTCTGACAATGCTGCTCCTGCGGGCCCTCGGAACTGACCTAATCCCGTCTGCAAACAACCAGAGGACACCGAAGGAGAGAAAAACCACAGTCTGGCTGGCCTGAGCCCAGCCCAGACCCGCAGGGCTCCTCAGCTCTTCTCAAGCTCAAGTGAGGAGAGAGGGCCCCCACCCCGGGGCCCCACTCGTTCATGCAGAACGGAGCAAGGCCACCAGCCTGGGCCCCCCGGGGAGCCACAGGCAGTGCCGGGTGGGCCTCAGTGGACTGTGAGCAGTCAGAATGGAGGCAAAAAGTGGGAGGAAAGAAAAGAAACAGGAGACTAGGGGGGAAAAGGGAGAAATAAAAGCTAGGGAGGAAGAGAGGAGAAGGGAAAGATGACAGAGGAGGAGGAGGAGGAGAGGATGGAAGGCAGAGTCATCCTGGCCCACACGCCGCTTCAAAGGGAGGAGGGGCTGATCAATTACATCCTGTTATCACTCCTGGACTCTCACATAGGGGCACCCCTCCGTGCCTGGCCTCACCAACCTTAGAGAGCATTTGCTGACCGGCTGGGGACAGACATGCCACCAGGCTCGCGATCACCTCGCCCGCGCCCTGGCTGAGTCTGCCCAGACCCTGGCTGGAAGGATACTGTAGTGTCTTCATGTAGTTCTGGATTGCCTGCAGCCAGTCTGGGATCGTCATCGACAGCCTGTAGTTTGGAACCTGGGGTATGGACGGCTGCGGAGAAGTAGAGAGAGATCTTTTTATCAGGAGACGCTCTGGGGCCCAGTGCTTGGGTACAGGCACGGGGGGTGGTGGGGGGAGCACCAGAAAGCTGCTCCTGGGAGCAGATAGCTACCTGGGGTGGTCACCTGTTCAAGTGGTACCTCCTGGACAAGGGTTGCCCACACCAGTCGGTTGCTTGCTGAAGTCCTCCCTCTCTGCGCCCTCTCTACACACACTCCACCCCGGGTCACAGTGGCTCCCTGTGGCCCTCTGTGTGTTGTGAGTGGCAACTCGACCAGCATCCCCAGGGATCCTGAGCCCCCCACTGAGGCCAAGGACCATGTCCTCTAGTGTCCCCCCCCCCCCGCCACGAGTCTGGCCCGAATGTTCACAGCGGCGCTCCATTAACCTCACATTGTGCTGCATGCAACACCTTTGGCTGCATGGTTAGTGTGACCCATTCTGTGTGCGCCACTCCGGGGCACCCCTGAATGCATGATGAACGGCGCCCTGAGGAAACGCAACAGGGCCCCACGGCCACCCTTTCTCCTCAACACCACCCCTGCGATGCCCACCACTTCCTCTGCGCCCAAATGGACCAGGACGGATTCCCCTCTGGCCTTGACTCTTCCCAGGTTGGTGCATCTCCGAGGACTCCTGAGCCCTCCTCTTGCCCTTTTCCCCTCACGCTGCCCTGCGCCCTCTTCAGTTCCTAGTCTGCCTCCTGGTCAACACTCACCAAGTGTCCACCAGCCCTGTAGGGAAGAGAAAGGAGCAACGGCAGGCAAGGACTAGAGAGGGGGGTGCAAGCGCCTCTTCTCGGGAATTGAGAGCCAAGACACCCTCAGCTCTGAGCAGGCCTGGCAACAAGGCTGTAGGTAGGAACAGGCTTCCAATCCAGTCAGTGCTGGAAATCAAGGGGCGGTTTTTGCTTTATCGCCCCTCTATGTTTCTCCATCTCTTACCCTCGGCCTCTCTGGTGGGGTGGAGCCACTGGGGACAAAGACAGTGCCCCGGGCCTGCGGCCCCAGCAATGCATTGTCAGGGCGAAGAGGGGAGGCCCCTCCAGGTGAAAGCCCTTAGGGCGGCCAGAAGGGACCTCAGGACAGCTTAGTTCCATCCCAGGAGAAAACAGGGAAAGGGAGGCCCTGGGGATTTCGGCCTCAGCTGATGGACAGTGAAGCTGCTGCACTGACCTGGGACGGTGCTGGGGGCCTGGCTGGGCCCAGCGCTCTCCCTGGCTCCGAGGTTCGAGGTTCAAGGTTCAGGTTCAAGCCCACGGTGGAGCTGGAGGGGCGCTGGCCCTGGGCCTGAGGCTGGTGCAGGGAGGGGGAGGAGGGGGGTGGGGCTCATACTTCTACAGCCTGGGCTGCATTTATTTAAAATGCTGCTTGACACTCTTTTCCTCCCAGCGCCTCTATTCTCTCTTGGCTTTGAGACTTCCTACTGCACAGCAACTGCCCCTTCAGCAGAAAGGAAGCAAGTCACACTTCCCACTTCACAGCCAAGGTGCTGTGTGTGTGTGAATGTAAGAGTGTGTGTAAGTGTGTGCACACACACACAGCTGCTCTGTGAGCCACATTTCGATGACAACATAGCAACTCGAATCACATTCTTGTCTTGGAGAGTCATTTTGGGGAGCAAATGTTCCAATTTGCTCACGTGCCCCCCTGCCACAGAATCAAAAGATGAAGTGTGTCTTCGTGTTTCTGCCCAACAAACACCAGGAAGCGTCCAGCCTGTCTTTTTTTTTTTTTTTTCCAGTAACATCCACTGATCTACCCAAACCAGGAATTCTGGGGCCAAACGTGCCAGAAATTTCACAGAGAAGTGGAGAATGGGAGACACACACAAACATCCCTTTAGCACCCACGGTGTCCCCAGCTCTAGAGCAGGTATGAGCAGGGGAGAGGGCACAGAGGGAGGGAGAGGGGAGCAATGAGACAGTCTATTAAGTCACGAGCCTGTTTCTACACAGAAAAGTGCTGATGGTGCCTATTTAATAGAAAGGCTGGTCAGGATGAGGAAATGCCCCAGAGAATCATAGGCCACCTAAGGGATCCCCAGGGGGCATCTGTCAGCCACAGCCCTGAGGTGGCCAGAATGACTGTGTTCAGAGCTGTGGGGGCCAACCACCAGATTATTTCGACTCCAGCAAGCCCCACAGAGCCCACAAGAGCCAGATGATGGGGTGGAAGTCTGGCGGCAGCTGGTCCTAAGAATAGCAGCTCAATGGCGCCCAAGGGCTTTTAAAAACAGCTGCCTGGTTACCTCAGCCCCTGCTGAGCGCGAGTGGCCACATTCCCCAAACCCCAGCTGGGGAGCAGAGCTGTGGTGGGGAGCAGGCCGAGGCGCTGAGGGGATGATGTCATCTGGCTCCAGCTCCCCCGGCCTGTGGGAGAGCTGACTGGCGCTCAGGCTGGGACTCAGCTCCCAGGCAGCCCACCCCTCCGGCTGCCATCGCTCCCACAGGGCAGTGGACAATTAACCAGGGGGGCTCCTTCGGGTGCGATTATACATCCAACACAACAAGGGCCAAGTCCCTGCTCTGTCACCTGCTGGCTGCGGACTCTGGTTGAGCTGCCTGACTTCTCTAAGCTGCCATTTCCTTCCTGAGAAAAGAGGAGACTGTCACCTACTTCAAACCTCCTGGGCTGGTTAGGAGGGTTATATGACCTGACGTATAAAGCAGGCAACCAGAGGTTTGGCCTGCCGTGCTGTTTGAGTGTTAGCTGTGTGATTATTCCTCTGCAGCGTGTCTTCAGGGGTCTAGAATGGGGAGGCCTGACGTGGTTTCACTTTTCAGGAGCTGCAAAACAGATTCAGCGCAGGCTGAGCCCCTGGACACTCAGGAGCACCACTAAGATGCTTTCTCGCCCTAATAAAAGAAGATGAAACCACCCACTTCCCCCTGGGACCATGAGTGAATCTCCTTAACTCATGAAGAGTTCACACAAAGGGTAAGAAAACTTTTTAGGCCTCAAAGAAAAAAAATGGCCCCAAAGGGTGGAAGCAACCCAAGGGTCCATCGACAGCTGAATGAATACACAAAACGGGGTGTATACACACACGGGATATCATTCAGACACAAGGAGGAAGGACATTTGGACACAAGCTGTAACTTGGATGAACCTCGAAGACCTTATGCTAAGTGAAATAAGCCAGTCACAAAGGACAAATAATTGTACAATTCCTCTTCTATGAGGTTTGTAGAGTTGTCAAATTCATAGAGAAAGAAAGTAGCCCTGGCTGGCGTGGCTCAGTGGATTCAGTGTGGACTTGTGAACCTAACAGTCGCTGGTTCAATTCCCAGTCAAGGCACATGCCTGGATTTCGGGCCAGGTCTCCTGTAGGGGGTGCACGAGAGGCAACCACACATTGATGTTTCTTTCCCTCTCTTTCTCCTTCCTTTCCCCTCTGTCTAGAAATAGATAAATAAAATAAAATAAACTTTTTTAAAAAGTAGAAGAATGGTTGCCAGGGACTGGGGGTGGGAGGGAGGACGGGAGTCACTGTTTACGGGGAGTAGAGTTTCAGCTGGGGAAAAAGAAAAGGTTTTGGAGATGGAAGGTGGTGATACTGTCCAACAATGCACAGAAGTGAACACTTAAAAATGGTTAAAATGGTAACTTATGTTATTATTTTATCACAATTCTTAAATGGCCATGAAAAGACAATTTACAAAAATAAGTGCACATGGTAGATAAATATTTTTTAAAAGTTCTAGCTCACTAATAATTTAAGAAACACAAACTAAAGCCACGGGTAAATGCCATCTTTCGCCTCCGCATCTGCAGAGACGTCCTGAAGTGCACACACTCAAAGCCGGCGAGCGTGCTCTCACGCGGCAGCCTGGGAGCGGAAACCGGTATGCCCCTTTTGTCCTCCCCCTGATGGGGGGCCTGAGGCCCATCTCAGGTCATTTTCCAGCCTTACTTCACCTGGAATGCCAGCCTAGATCTTCCACGGCCCCTCCTCTCGAGGTTCCCACCTCCTGCCACCTGCATCCAGCCCCCTCCCTCGAGTCACATGGACAGCCCACCTTACAAAGGCAGCATCTAGGGGGCACAGATCAAAAGGACCCTGTCCACACTGTGCCTGTGGTTGGGGGTGGGGTCGTGGGAGCAGGAAGTGGAGTGGACAGGAAGATGATTGTTCAAGAAAAATAATAAAACAAACCACAGGCAAGGCTTGTGTGGGTGGGCTCTCTTTCACTCCATTCTCGCCAAACACAGTGACCTACCAGCAGAATGGAAGGGGAAGGGATGGGGTAGGACACAAGTGTGTGTCATCACCATGGCATCACCATGTGGGAGAGAAGGGGGAGCCAGAAAAGGAGTCGGGGAGGCAGCAAGGCCCCCCCAGGCACCAGGAGTCCTTAACAAGAAACAACAAGGAGAAAGTGAAAGAAACCTTTTGCTGTCCATGTTCTGAAAAGTACGCTTGGCAGGCACCAGGCAGAAGAACCTCCTGGAGGACAGCAAGAACATCACTCATGAGCCTAGGATGCGCCCCCGGCCCCTGCATCAGGGGCAGCCAGGAATCTGTAGATGGCAGCCTGCTACAGAGGCAGGCCCAGGGGTCACGACCTTGGGCTGAGCAGGAAAGACTAGGGGGTGGTGGTTCTGAATGCAGAACAAGGGAGGGAGGGAGGGAGCTGCCCGTGTTAGCCAGCAGGGGGCAGGAGTGGAGCCCTGGCTGCAGCAAAGCTGCACCACTCTGCAAGCACTCAGTTCTGCACTCAGGCAATGCTGGGTCCTCTAAATGTGAATTACTTCCCAGCTGGGGATCAGTGTGAGAAAGAGGCACAAGAACATGGCGACTGCAAGAAACAGCCTAGCTGTTTTGTTTTTTTTTCTGGGCCAGCCACCTCTCCATCCCTGGCTTCCATTCTCTACCACCCTCCAACTGACTTGAGCTGCTTTCTTGCACTATCCCTCAAAAGTCTCGGCCTTCACCTACTCAGCTGTTGACTTCAGACCCAGTAACCACCAGAGAAGACTTCGGGAGAAAATTTAGAAGGAGGATCTCCCCGCCCACTAGCCTTTCCCCACTCCCAGGACGGGGGCATCTGGACCTTCGGGCAGAACTCACCCGAAATGGCTGCTAACAGAATGTCCCGCAGTCAAAGGAAGTGTCATTCAGTCCCCTCTCTTAGGCCTCTGACCCCTTCCCTCCACCCGCCTCCGGGACAAATTCAATTGCCATATAACTTTACCTCCTTGAAACTCTCCAACCCTTCCACCACTACCCCCTCTTCTCTACAAATTCCTGAGTAAAACATGGATTTGGTTAAAGGAGCAAAGGGCTTGGCCCCAGAGGGAAAAGTCTGCCAAGCTAAGTGCAGGAAGAGCCCTTGAATCGGAGAGGAGTGGCCCCTAGAAACAGGAGGTTTTGATGCTGCCCCCATCCCAGGGCCTGTGCAGGAGTCAGGGTTTGGGGAATACTGGGTCCCAGGAAGGGTGGGGGGTGGATGCCGTGATGGGGCTGGGGATGGAGAACCAACCACGATGACACAATGTACGGGAGAGAAATGTTAAGTTCTTCACTCAGGTTCAAAAAGCCAATGCCCACATTCGGGCTGAGGTTGTCCTGGCCTGGCAGGAGTTCGCACGTGACCTTTGGGTTACTACAAAAGGACAACGTGGCCACACTATAAAAAAAGGAACCACTCTTGCGAGAACACAGCATTCAGCCACAGCCCTGGAGCTATCAAGCACAAGTCTCAGGAAGCAGTGATCTATGTGGCAAGCTGCTCAGACAGCATTTAGTATATTGCGTTTCATATGTGCTTATTTTAGGGGAATGACTGATGATGACAAACTAGCAATTTCCTAGAAAGAGGATGAGGACAGTGAGTTGATCTGGGGACTCTGACACATAAGGTGGAAGCAGCTACCCGAGGACAAAGAAGACTAAAGGAAGATACAGACTGCCAGACTGTCCCAGTTCTGAGGTCTCGTGACTCAGTGTACCTCCAGAGTCACACAGACACATCTAGTGTCACACAGGTCAGCACTGGAGACCTGGAGACTCACGGTTCATAACATCATGGGATTTGAGAGTTGGAAAGAAATTTACATGAAGTCAGGTCTACTCCCATTTTATAGATGAGAAGACTGAGATCAGAGATTTTAAGTGAGCGACCTAGGCCACAGAGCCAGAGGTAGCATGACCAGGCCTGGAATTCAGTCCCTACCTTACTCCAGCAGCCCCTTCTAGTGACATTCCCGGGACCTGTGAGTAGCAAAGGAAGTCAAAGTGTGCCGCACTGTCCGAAAGCCACACAAGAATCACTGGTGATAGGTGGCTGAGGGGAGGGGGGAGGGCTTCCGCTGGAGGCCCAGGAAAAGAGCTGCCCACCAATCAAAGGTGGCCAGGCCTGGGACCAGCTGCCCTGTGAGGCAATGAGCCCCGCCCCTCCCCATTCCCCGGAGGTCTTCAGAACAAGGAAGGGAGACTGATCTCCACCAATACTAACATTCCCGGGTTCCCACAGGGAAAAGGGGTCCCCGCACACAAGACCAGAAGAAGGATAAAGTCACGATGAGAAGCAGGGTCACCGCTGAGGGTGCTGAATTAAAAAGGCAGTCTGGGACAGCAGGAACAGGACTCTGTTCCCTGAGGCCACTTCTCTTCCAGGTTTAAGGGCTCCCAGTTCCTCCTTACATAAAGAAAGACTCAAGTAAGGACAAATGCTGAAGTCAGAACCACACAACCAGGGCCAGTGTGATTCTCATGCTCAAGGAGTAAATACAGCCGGCGCTAAAGCAGGCTGGACTCTCTCTGGACACAGGGAAGAGCCCTGGGCCAGCAGGGTAACAAAACACTGAGACCGACAGCAGCAGGAGGCTCCCGGGCTCTGTCACTTCCCCCGTGGGCACATACAGCGTTCTGGCCTGCGGGGCTCAGATGCTCAGGTCACCAGTTGCTCCAGGTCGGGGACTGGACCAGATGGCCTTCCAGGTCTCAGGTCTGGCATTCCTAGACCTGCCCAGGAATCTTCTCAGTCACTGCAGTGTCCCCAGGGTGCAGAGGAAACCATCTGCCACGCTACAGCCCCCAAGGCTCTCAGCATTCCTCCCCCCGCTTGGGTTTTGATGTTTCATGCAGTGACCACAGCACATCTCCCTTCCTCCGTCTTGTTAAATTATCCTTGGCCGCCAGACCCCATCAGCTCACTGGCTTCTCTCCAAGGTGGAAAGAGTTCCACTCCCGAGCCTCCTTCCCTACCCAGTGAGACTAATTCATCATGTGTGCTGGAAAGTCCCTTTTAAGCCACAGCCAAAACTCTTCTTTTCTTCTTGGAGCCCAGATAAGCGGGGAAAAGAGATCGCTCACTGTTTTTGCAAGTTTCAGAGGTGAAAGTCACTGTCATAAAAAAAAAAATTGGCAAGAAGTCTAGAAATGATTCACGCTGAGAAGTCTGACTGGTTGAGTGCAAATTCATTCACAGCCTAATAAATCATTTGTGAGGGGGAGACGGGAGGACCGAGGGACTCCAAAGAGGAAAAGCACGGTGGGATCCCTGAGGCGGCCTTGGCATCGCTGGTGCTACCTGGGGCTAGAGCTTGTGCTTAAAGAGGATGGACACGGGGTGAGTAAATAAAACAGAGTTTGGCTTGAGATTCAAAGAAACCTTGGCACAACCGGATCATACAGCCATACAGTCCCAGGGCAGCAAGCCACCCCCTCCCCCTCCCCCCTTTCTAAGGCTTCCAAGGCAAACATCTCAATTAAGTAAAGGGGTTTTTTTTTGGGGGGGGGGGGCACTGTGGGGAAGACTGGAGAGGGGAAGGGAGTTTGCAGCGGGACCAGGAATATGGGAATTACCTCTATTTGCTCTGTACAGACTGAAACGGCCCCATCACCACCCACCCCATCTCCCTCCGTGGAAGCCACTGACCTTTGCCAAGAAGGTGGCATTCCTAATGGAGCCCACCATTTCTCCCCCCTTGGGGTGCACCTTCGCCACGTGCATCCACATGCGCTCCCAGGTGTGGCTGTCGATGGGAAAGCCGCTCTTGTTAACGTGAAACAGCACCCCGCCGTCTTTGTCTTCCTCCTCCGAGCCCCCGCTGGTGGCGAGGCTCACGGGCCGCGCGTGGCTGCTCCGGGACCGGGTGCCTTTGGCGCCTTTGGGGTGGGGGCAGCGGTGAGTGTCAGCCGCAGAGCCGGTCATGGTGGGGCCGGGGCCGGGAGGGCGGGGCTGGGGGTCGCGCGGCAGCAGCGCGGCAGCAGCGGGGGGCGTGCGCGCGCGGGCGCCGCGAGGGGTTCAGCGCCCCGCGGGGCCCGCCTCCTCCATGCCTCCGGCTGCCGCAGGACGCGCCAAGGGGGAGCGGCGGCGGGAGCTCCGCTTACGGGCCGTGCCTGAAATCAGCGGAGACACAGCACACAGCGCGGTAAGTGTACACCCTGAGAAACCGTGCCCAGTGGTGGTGGGGCCTCGGACTGTCCCCACCCCACGTCACTCCCGCCCCTCCACCCCCGCGCTGACAGACACTCCCAGGATTTGAATACAAGCTTCCAGCCCTGAAATTACCTCGAAAGGCGACTGGAATTTTGGCACAAGGCTTCACGCACACCTAAACATTGGGAGGGAAATAAAGGAGCGTGGAGGATGCGGAGTGGCGGCTCGTGCAGCAGAAGGAAGAGAAGGTCCCTGCAACGCTCCACACGTTGCTGGGTCGCCAGATGTGGCCGAGCGCCGAGCGAGCCAAGAACGTGCCGGCACGTGAGCTCCCGGGGTCGGCGCGAGGGCGCAGCAGCAGCTTCTGCTTGCAAAGGCCGCCGCGGTTCTTCCAAAAAGCCCTCCGGGGCGCCCAGATTTAAGTGGAAATAGCTCCACCCGCCCCCCATTCCCGGAGTTCCCGCGCCAGGCAGCCCGGGGGCCGGCTGCAGGCGGAGCGCGGGAAGGGTGCCGCAGCTCCCGGACCCTACCTCGGGACGCTCGGCCTCATAGCTGCGGCGCCTCTGCGGGCGGCGAAGGTGGCGGCGGCTGCAGCTGCTGCTGCGCCTGGGACCGGGGCTGCTGGGGCTGCTGCGGCTGTTGCGGCTGCTGCGGCCGTCCCCTCATTCCATGTCCCATTCTCGAATGTTATTCTGTGACATATAACCGAGTCACCCGGGCAGCCTCCGATGTTCCGACTTCGTCCATTGGCCACCGCAACAAAGAGGGGCGGGTCCCGGGCTCGGAACTCCACAACCCCGAGCTCCGCGACGCCCTGATTGGCTCCGAGCTTCTCCAGCGGGCGGGGAGAGGAGTAGGGGCCGCTGCGCGGCCACGCGAAATCCGATCGCTGTCACGTCCGGGGAGCCCCGCGCGGCTGGAGCGTTTGTCCTAGGGACTTAAGACGGAGTTCCACCAGGGGGTCGTGGCACTGCGAGGGTTTGCAACTGTGGGGAGCAGAGGAGATGCAGTCACCTGAGAAGTGACCCTGAAATAAGGGAGGGCTTGTCCGTGGAGCATCAGTCCCTGAAAAAGGCCGGACAGTCACCTACCTCTATCAGGAGGTGATGGATGGTTCAGGCAGGGGCTGTCCACATAAAGGTACAAAACAAAATCTTTTTTTTAAAAGATTGTATTTATTTATTTTTAGAGAGAGGGGAAGGAAGGGGAAAAAGAGGGAGAGAAGCATTGATGTGTAGTTACCTCTCACCCACCCCCAACTGGGGACCTGGCCCACAAACTGGGACCTGGCCCACAACCCAGGCATGTACCCTGACTGGGAATCGATCTGGTGACCGTTAGGTTTGCAGGTCGGTGCTCAATCCACTCAGCCACACCAGCCAGGGCCTCCTTTTTAAGCCCACATTACAAATTCCTGCAAACTGCACTGCATCTCAGGTGTAGGTCAGGACCCTGGACTGCCCTCTGGATGGTGTGTGGAGTTCGTAAGAATTCTGCATCTCCGTGGGGCCCATTTGATGACATTTTGTTAGACAAGGTGCCCACCCGTCATGGCTCAGGGACCAAACCCACTACTCCAAAGTACAGTAGCTGGTGTGTGGTAAATGACCCCGGGAAAGTAAATCGGGTCCTTCTAGGATCTCCAGGCATCTTAGTCCTGGGCATTCAGGGATCACATATGACCATATTGATATAGATATGAGAATAAAAAGTACAGTAATAGTATGCAGCATAGCTGTGATTGCTATACACCGTTATGGCAGAAGAAACTTTAAAAGAAAGCTCAGGAAATATAATCAGTCTTCTGACAGATGAGACAACTCCCTATATCTGGTCAAATTTTATAAGTAGTGCTCTGAAATAGTGAGTGTTTTTAGTAACTGACATACATAAATTACACCACCCCTTTACAAAGAAGAGTCCCCCAAACTAACAAGGGGGCACAATCATAGGCACTCTGACATTAGTCATGACTGGAAAAATCCATTTAAACCCAAGCTGAATCGCAACACTAAAACCCAGGTGGCCACAGCTACAGAGTTAGAGGAGGGGGTGGAGAGATGCGTCTAGGCCATGGGGAAGTGGGAGGCCCTTCCACACTCTCCACAGCAACACCTGTTCCTCAGAGGTCTCTTCCCCACCCCCGCTCCCACCACCCCCACCCCACCCCGCTCCCATTTAAAGAAAGGGAAGAGCAAGGTGAGGTGGGAAAAGCACCAGACCACTGACCTGAGGGCTGGCTCTAACTCCTCATTTGCCACTTGGCTAAGCTGTGTGACCCGGGACAAGCCACTTGCCTGTTCTGGACTTTAGCTTCTCTTTCTGAGAAGAGGAGAGCAGACCCCTCACTCTCCAAAGTCTGTTCAGGCTCTGAGGTTCTGTGATTCTCTGACTTCCTCTCTTGTGGGCACTTAGGAGCCTGGCTCCAATATCCTCTCTCTTTAAACTCCAAGCCAGCACGCCAGCTTTGGGAGGGCGAAGCAGTTGTGAGAGCCGTACTAAGGTAACCTAGAATTCCAGATGCAGTCGTCTAAGCGCCACTGATGACAGATCAGTTTCTGGAACTTCTCTTGCACAGGAGGGTGTGGTGAGGGGCCAGTGCCAGCAGAGGCCACTGGACTGTAGCCTGGGTGAGGACACCTGGACTCTAAGCCAGCCCCGCACTACTGCAGGCAGAGCCCATATAGAGTCAATAATGGGAATAATAACTTAGGTCTGGAAATTATTTGCAGAATTCAAGTGAAACAAGCACACCTGAAAAACATCCAGAAACTGAAAAAAAAAAATCCTCTCACTACATAATCGCCTCCGTTTTAAACATAATCCATCTCTGGATTAAAAAAAAAACCTGTCTCACTGAACAATCTAGCTTCTCATCGCAAGCATCCTCCCTGCCTCTTCTCCCACTCATCTCTCCGATCGGTCCCTTCCGCCTCACTTCCCTGGAGTTCCAGGTCCAGGAGCCTAGGGTTTCAGGATGGAGACCTGCGGGCAGAGGATGAGAACTTGGCCTCGCACTCCCTCAGGAGAAAACTGAGCTCTCAGAGCTCAAGTGATCAGACCAGTTGGTGAACATCGAAGAATGTCTGGCAAGTGCCACCTTCCCTGGCATCCATTCCCAGTGTCTGCACTCACACTGAGTCTGAGAAACCAGTTACCCTGTTAAACCGAGGCCTGGATCCCGCTCTGCCGGGATCAAAATCCCGGGACCGGAGAGGGTTATCAGTTCATCTTCCTGCCCCAGGCACATCAGGTCTCCCTGACCAGTCAATGAAAACTCTTGTTTTCATCTCCAGTATTCCAACTACCCATTCTCCTTCCCTGGGGAATGGGGTGCCACGGGAAGCCAAGTGACATATGAAGAGAACTGTGAGATTTACCTGTTTTTCCCAAAAGGTGGTAAGAAGTCTTCTAAGGTGAACTTTGTTGTCCCAGGGAGGGACCGGGCCGCAGAAGAGCCCTTCGGTTCGGAACCCTTTGGCTTTTGAGAGCTGTGCTACTTGGCGTGGACCACCACTTCTGTTCTCCCCTTTCCATGTGTGCTTGGTGTTACAGAGACTCGGACAAACCCAGGCCTGACAGATGATGGGCTTTGGAAAGTTCAGGTCATTAGTAAGAGGAAGACATCCGTGCACGCAGTGGGACAGGGCCAACTTTTAATTTGGACAGGGGCACCTGGTAACTACACGCTCAGCCTCTGAGAGCATCATCACGTCCGTTCATTGGCGTAACGATGGGCACAGCAGAGAGGTGTGGTGGGAAGGTTTGGAACGAGAAAAACTGAGTCTAAGTAGCATCTTTCATTCAAGTGCCAGGTGCTAGGGTCTCAGAGTCAAATGAGGCAAAAATCCTAAGCTGATGATCATTTTTCTAGCTCCACCACTTGTTGATGTTAATAGCCTACGAATGAGTGCACCAGACACTTCTATGTGCCTCCTCACATGGGTCAGACCTTGCCTTTCTGCTGACTCCACAGCTGCCTCCACAGCCAATTAAATCTGTGCAGTTCAGTCACTGGGGACCGACTAGTCACTGGCCCAGCCAAGTCCTCCTTGAGGGCTGCTGCACAGCTGGGCTGGCCAGCCACATGTCTGGGGTCTCTGACTCCTCCACTACTTCTAGACTCAGAGGAAATACCACACTACAGGATGTGGCTTCTAAGCAGCCATCAAAGTGGTTAGATGATGCATCCCAGGAAATTCCCTGTGGGGAGAGTTTTGACCAATGAAAACCAGGAGATGGGAGGGAGCTGGGCAGATACATTGTCTTTCATTCCTCCCTTCTATGGACTGGTCCGAGTCACGATTTCCCAACACAGCCTGTCTGGATATGTCCTGCATGGCTACTGAGACGTCCCGACTGCGTAACCTGCCGTGGCTCTGCGGCAGGCCCTGAAGCAGTTACCTGCATGATAACATAGCACCTTGCCTCGCTTCCCATCCTAGCCTACTTCATTTCCCTTTTCGCTCACTCTGGCAGCCCGCTCCATCAGATTTAATTTTTTTTGCTTCAGGTTTCTGTTTCCTAGGGAAACTGAGCTCGGGTGATTGGTTCCACCAGAGGTTCTAGGATGGATTTGGGGTTGTATCTCCTACCTGTCTGAAATCAATAGAGACCCCTTGGCTGGTGCTAAGAGAGATGGCAGTGACTCATATGTAACGGCACCACAGCTTTCACTTGTGTCCAATTGGGGTGCATGGTGTGGAGAGCAGGTCATTAGGAGATCAAGTAGCTGTGACACTCAATCTGCTTGGAAACAGCGATAAGTATAAGGTACCAGAGACCTTACTAGAAACACACAGTGACAGGCTCAGGGCAGTTAGTTACCAACTCATGGAATGCTCTGAAAGTTAATTACCAACTCATGGAATGCTCTGAAGGCCAGGAGCCTCCATGGAAACTTTACTGGAGAGCCTCATTTCCTGCAGCCACAGGACAGACTTAAAATCAGGCCCAGGATGTGATCACAGGGCAGCGGGACTGCCCAGGACACTGAACACGTGGCCTTCACGGGCTGCCGAGGCACGTCCAGGGCAGGACCCTGAGACCTGGAGGAGCGATGTCTCCTGGGTGAGCATCCTGGCCCCTCGAACCCTCTGAACGCTCCTGCCCAGAGAAGAACCCCTTCTCCATGGCTAGTTCTCCTCCACACCTGGCCCCACTGTTCCCTGCTTCCAGCAACATCCAGAGTCAAGCTGCGGCAAAGCCCACACCGGGAAGGAAAAGCCCTGCTTCGGGGGATAAAACCTACCTGCCAAAGATGTTTGTGAAACTCGTTCTGTGAACTGGCAGGAACTGTGGAAACATGTGTGGGAGTAGATCTGGAAGGTGTCATAGTCGGGGGCAGGAGTGAAGCAAAAAGCTCAATGGGGAGAATTCACTAATTTGGGGATACTCATACAGAACTCAGGATTTAATGCTTTTAGCCAGGGAGCCTGGAGCTTGTCCTCATAGTTTGCTGAGATGCCTCTTTGAAGCCTGGTCTCAGCCATGGCCTATCACAAGCGAAGTGGAGGAGCCAGACTTCCTTGCGTCGTGTTGGGGAAGCATCAGCAGCACAAGACTCCGGAAGGTGGGACTACTAGAATTTATGATGTATGGCTCCAGAGCTGACCCCCTGGCCAGTGTCCTGCACTGGCCCAGAGGATGCTCCCTTCACTGAGGCAATAAAGAATTCATTGGCAAGAAGGCTTTTGGCATAGTTGGTAGTGCCTGTCCTTGTAGTCCAGGGTTGCCAGT